CACACACACACACACACTCTCTCTCTCTCTCTCACACACACACACACTCTCACACACACACACACACACACACACACACAGTCTCTCACACACACACTGTCACACACACACACACTGCAGATGTCGACGTGGTGGCGTTTGAAAGAGCAGAACGGACTCCTCGCTCGACTCCACGTTAATGGAGGTGTTGAATTGACCAATATTGATCAAAAGAGCCCGGCAGCTCGAGAGTCGCTTAATTTCCCTTTAATTTGCTCCTGGAGAAGCACCGGGCGCTCGGACCGCAGGAGCAGCAGTAAGTCTCAGAGTTCCCATGAACGCACCTCGTTAAAGTGATGGATTCGGGCCGCGGGCGATCGTCCGGACCTGGGTGGGCATCCACATGTGTCCCGACCCGAGGGAGTCACCTTTACACGCTCGTCCTCTGCAGCAAACACACTAAACACCATCAGCGCTTTGATCTGACAAACCAATCGCTCATTAAACATTATAAAAGCCTTAGAACAAAACACTCTTAGAGTAATGTTTATGGAACATTCTTTGTAACGTTGAGAGAAAACATTCTTGTAACATCCTCATAATGTTATTTGTGCTTGAGGAACTTTCTCATAACGTCAAGAAAATGTTCGCAGAACTTCAGTCTCAAAACATTCTTATGATATGTGCTCGAATGTTCTTTTTTGTAACCTTTCAATAACATTATAATCAAGACAAGAGTAGGACATTAAATATTCTTAGAATATTAAAAATAAATGTTCAAATAACATTATAGTTCGGGTGAAAATAAATTTAGTAGAATGTTGTAGGAAACGTAAGAATACTGGACATTTTAACATTTTATAAACATTTCAAAACAATGTTCCCACAACGTTTTTATAAGCTATGTTTATTACCGTTTGTTGTGCATTTGTTCAGTCTGATGAAGCTGAGGGAGAAGCAGTGCTTGTGTGAGACGAGGAGAGATGAACGTGTAGTTTGACCGGCAGTCGCAGGGCAGCAGAAATCACTGTACATTTCATGCTTTCTAGATTAATGCTGCACGAATTACACAGTAACGTGTGTAATTTCTGTTTGTGACCTCTGTAATATATTTGTCGTGCTGTCAGGAGGCTGATGAATCTAGTATTTTTATTTTATTTAATTTTTTATTCTTCAGTTTGTGCCCGCTGTAATATAATTGTGGTGCCGTCAGGATCTTGATGACTGTGTCGTACAGCACTGATCCGCACCTGAGCGCTCCTGACGTGTCCGTGTTTAACGCTCCATGGAGTTTCTCCTCGGTTCATGTCATGTGTGATCTGTGACGTGTCTGACCGTTAATCTCGCCGCTCCGCTTGATTTGCGGCCGCTGAGCGTGATTTTCTGCCACTAATGGCACATTGTGTTTAAGTTTCTTGTCACGCTGTGTTACCCTGAACGGGAGTAAATCTTGTCATCGTACGTCACTCCAGCAGCCGGTACACTTTCAGAGACATTCCTGCTCTGATTTATCATAAGAAAACTAAAGTACGTTGTAATCAGATCTCTGTTAGTTGTAAATCAGTCAAATAAGACACTTCCTAGAATCAAGAATACAATTCATTCTTACAAGTTCGAGTTTTATTTTGAGTTGCACACTTTTAATGTTCTTATAATAGTAGAATGTTGTAAGAAATGTGTACTATAACCTACATTTGTTAGCTAGGAATATGCTTGTTTCAATGTAAAATATAGCAGCATTCGGTTCTCTCGTGAGAACAGATTTCATTTTGACCGTAGAGACGCTTCATGTTTTTCGTGTAGCTTCCAGGAGTTGGTGATGTACTTTGGGCTCAAACCCAAGTCTGGAGAGAAGGAGGTTTCTCCAAACTACGTCTTCATGCTGTGGTACGAGTTCTGCAACGATTTCAAGAGCACCTGGAACCGAGAGAATAAAAGCATCTCCAAAGAGAGGTGAGGACCATCCATCTCACACTCACTCGTCTGAGTCTGAAGTTAAGACCCGTCGCATCTTCAGAATAATAGTACAGACAAAAATACAAATCTGCTCACTCTCAGCTCAACTTGTTTCTTCATCAGGTTTGGAGAAAAGTAGCACTGCATCAGTGTCTCACTGCAAGTGAATGGGTGCCGTCAGAATGAGAGTCCAAACAGCTGATAAACACATCACAATAATCCACAGCACTCCAGTCCATCAGTTAACATCTGGAGAAGACAAAAGTTGAAACTAATCCAGCATTAAGATGTTTTGAACTCAAACACGAGACCATAATCCATAATAACTCTTCCTCCGGTGAAGAAGTGTTCTGGTCTGAATCAGGAGAGAAACCTGCACAGATCAAGCAGCGTTTAAACAGTTAAAAAACATCTCAATGCTGGATTAGTTTCAGCTTTTGTCTTCTCCAGATGTTAGCTGATGGACTGGAGTGCTGTGGATTATTGTGATGTTTTTATCAGCTGTTTGGACTCTCATTCTGACGGCACCCATTCACTTCTCCAAACCTGATGAAGAATCAAACTCTTCTACACCTCGGATGAGCACATTTTCAGCTAATTTGGCTGAGCTACTCCATTAACGATCTCCCAGAAGGCTGTGTTTAACGGTGCAGAAGCAGTAAAAGCAGAGGGATGTTGTCTCTCAGCGGGTCGTCCTGCTAACTGGACATCACGGGTCGAGGCCAGCGTCATAAATCCAGGCCCGAGAGCTCCTCTCTTTGATGCTCTTCTTATTTTTAATAGTTTTGCAGCATCTCCGAGATTGTTTTACGGATCGAACTCCCTGCCGATATTCAGCTCTCACTTAGAAACGCACAGAAATCATTCTCATTCGTCACCGTTGCTCTTGTTTCCAAACATTTACTCGAGAAGCACAAATGCCACGTTTTAGAGAACATATCATCTATCAGTTTATTTCTGTGTCTCGGTAGTGCTTTCTCATTTTAAGCATAAATCGAACAGACTTTAGTGAGGTTTAAAAGCACAAACCGCTCAGACTCTACGTGCTGCTTTAGTTTGACCTCCATTCACAAAATAAACATCGTCCGTGTTCATCAGAAGAACGAAATGTTGTGCTCTTTCATTTCAGACTGAAAGAAGCTCAGCAGACCGTCCAGAAAATCACAGCTGAGAAGAAAGTGGAGACGAAGACGACCAACGCAAACAGTCTGGTGAGAAACACACAAAGAGATGCTTTGTTTGCAACCTACATTTATTTAAATCAACTGAAAATATTAGTTGTTTTTTTTAAAGATTTAAAACATTGTAGTATAAAGTATGCAAAATAACTTCAACTCAAAGTAAGCGAGCGTCATTTATCATTGACATTTTACAGGTGCTTTTTGACTATTTTGTGATTATTATTATTAGGTGCTTGTTTTGGCTCTTATATTCACACACACACCAAAAAAAATACAAAAGAAATAAAGTAGAGTTCTATAATCCTTTTTTTAATTTAAGCTAAGGTAGAATTTCAAAAACAATGTCTATGATCCACACATTATGAACATAACGAGAAATCAGGGAAATAGTTTGCATGAATTGAAAGTATTAGGATTTTGAAATATTTAAAACGTTGTAAATAATGAACGCAAAACAATTTCTGTGACCAATCAGATAAAAAATAAATGTGTCATTGATCATCTGACGTATTATAGGTGCCTTTTGACCGTCTTTGACCATTTTAGGTGCTTTTCAGCTTTTTTTTACCTTATTTTTTGTTCCATTTTAGGTGCTTTTCAACAATTTTTTGACAACTTTTGACCATTTTAGGTGCTTTTCAACTATTTTTATTACCGTTTTTGACCATTTTAGGTGCTTTTCAACTATTTTTATTACCGTTTTTGACCATTTTAGGTGCTTTTCAACAATTTTTTGACAACTTTTGACCATTTTAGGTGCTTTTCAACAATTTCTTGACAACTTTTGACCATTTTAGGTGCTTTTCAACTATTTTTATTACCATTTTTGACCATTTTAGGTGCTTTTCAACAATTTCTTGACAACTTTTGACCATTTTAGGTGCTTTTCAACTATTTTTATTACCATTTTTGACCATTTTAGGTGCTTTTCAACAATTTCTTGACAACTTTTGACCATTTTAGGTGCTTTTCAACAATTTCTTGACAACTTTTGACCATTTTAGGTGCTTTTCAACAATTTCTGTGACCAATCAGATAAAAAATAAATGTGTCATTGATCATCTGACGTATTATAGGTGCCTTTTGACCGTTTTTGTAGTGGAAACTATCAGTCCTTAAACGCTCTTAATTCTAGATTTGGAGATGAATGAAGGCATCTGTCACCATTACACCACAGAGTTGCTCTGGAAGCTCTTTAGCGTACGAGTAGTTGATTAACAATATGTGCACGCATGTTTTCTCAACAGCAAGATCCAAAAATAAATGGAAAGTATTGGGATTTTTACCAGTGAAATCAATGAAATGAGTGCCATTGACCATTTGACAGGTTTTGTCTATTTTTAACCATTTATAGGTGATTTTTTTGGTGTTCCTGCAACTGAACTTAGTTCGTAGAAGTACAAATGGCCGCCTGCTGCTGCTGCTGCTGCTGGCCAGACTCGTTCGGGTTGTTCTTGTCCGGGTGAGGAATCGCGCCTCGGTTCCGCTTGGATTCGGCTGGACTCGAGAGAAGAAGAACCCAGATGAAGAGCACTGCGCACGCCATCCGAGCGGAGGACACTGCATGGCGAGAGACAATATCCAAGGTAACACTTTATTTTAAAATGTCCTTGTTGCATGCACTTACTATTACAATAAGGATAAATGATGCATAATTACATGCAACCCTAACCCTACAGTAAGCACATGTACAGGTAGACTTAAATGTATAATTAGGCTACACTGTAAAATAAAGTGTAACCACATTCACAAACAGCGTCCTGTTAACTGATGAAACCAGCTTCTGGAAGTCCAGGTGTTTGTTTTTTTAAGTTCTAAAAACGTTTAACATTTCTCACATACATAACACGGAACTAAAATATGAGAAGAACTCAGTTAAACTGTGATAATGTCAGATAAGTTTGATAGAAAGGTATGTAATGAATTGGGTTGAATAGCTGTCAGCTGTTACATTTAAGAACACAGTTAGATCAAACCCATTTAGCTCGACTAATTAGCAAGCAGTGCTTCATTTAGTTCAGTCTGTGGTGTAAAAGATCACATTAGCAATTAAAGAAAAACACTTCAGCAAAACATGCTCGGCTCAAAGTGTCTGAATCCTTTTTTGATCCCAAATGTTTCTGATAGTCCACTGTATGAAGAGTTTTTAGGTATAATATTTCACAGTGCTTTATTTTGCTCTCATCACTTACATAAATGAACTATAGTGTCGTGCACGCACTAGTAACAAAATATCAACAATGATATCTAGTGTCTGAATAACTGTTGGTTTGAGTGTATGAACGGCAATGGAACGCTCCATTTGATAATTCTGCATACTTTATGGGAATGTTGCTTTTGAATGTGAAAACTTAGTGTTCTTTTGCTGTAAATCCTTGCTAAAGTTCTGTGATGGTCACCAATTTTCACCTTTTATCATTTATATTTTCATTTGAGATTTCTATATATAAAATATAGGAACTTTATATAGCTATATTTATATGTAGCCTAATAAGTCAAATTCATATATTCATTATTAATAATAATAATAATATAGGCTATGTACAATCATTACATATTAAAACCTCAAAAACCTAACAAAAATATTTACAGAAATTTTTTTTTTTTTTTAGTTTAAGATTTTTTCATATATATAGGTGAGTTTCCGGATCTTGTTAATATTTCAACACTGATTTCTAAGTACTTTGCTAAAAAAAAACACATTTGCACATTTCAACATTTAAGGTAGGTTTATGGAAATCATTCAGTGATTAAATATAGGCCTAGGCTATGATAATGATGATAATTACTCCCGGGGACCATGTCTCAAACTCACAAACATTCTTAGTTTTAATGTTTAGACAATTATTAAACCTGAATAACAGCAGAATGGTTTAAGACACATGTTTGTTTGTTTGTTCAAGAATGAGTCGTGCGGAATCTAGTCGTGTTTGGAGAATCATCCGTGAGATCTTCAGTTAACCGTCCAGCTGGACATTTGTGCTGATATTAAACATAAAAACCATCGTGACAGTATAATATAGTTCCTGTAGCTCAAACAGTGGAGCACTGGAGTAGCAACACTAAGGTCATGGGTTCGACTCCCAGGGAAAGCACGAACTGATCACATCCATCGCTTTGGATCAAATCATCTGACCGGTGCAGAAATAAGAAACAGACACCTGCTCCAGACACAGGTTGAGGGATGAGTGAAGTGTGAAGATCTCTCACCTGTGAGCGTCGAGGAGCTTCTAGAGGAGATCTGCGTGAGGAGAGGAGCTGCGATCTGTCCCATAGACACACACTGAGAGTCTGCTGCTGAAATGAGCACTGCATCTCCACACTCTCAGACACACTGCTGGAGAATCAGAGCTGTCCGGCCCCTCTCTCTCTCACACACACTCTCTCTCTCTCACTCACTCACTCACACACACACACACACACACTCTCTCTCTCTCTCTCACTCACACACACACTCTCTCTCTCTCACACACACACACACACACACACTCTCTCTCTCACACACACACACACACAAACACTCTCTCTCACACACACACACACACACTCCCTCTCTCTCACACACACACACACTCACTCTCTCTCTCTCTCTCACCCTCACTCTCTCTCACACACACACACACACACACCCTCTCTCTCTCTCACACACACACACACTCTCTCTCTCTCACACACACACACACACACACTCAGAGGAGGGCTCTATCTATCTGTCTGTCTGTACTGACTCCTGCTGCTGGAGATCTCATCAAGGACCTCAGTCACTTCGATCATATGAAACAATATGTCATTTATGGATGGAAATTAATCTTTATGATGGTTCATGTTGGGGAAGAAGAGCTGCTGTTCATCAACTAAATATTGATGATGGGTTTGTGCATATAGGCAGCCTGAGATATGAACTGTGTGCAAATATATAAATAAATTCCTAATAATATATATATATACACACACACACACACACACTCTCTCTCTCTCTCTCACACACACACACACACACA